TAGGGATTTAGATTTAGGGATTTAGGGTTTAGGGGTTTAGGGGTTTAGGGGTTTAGGGGTTTAGGAGTTTAGGGATTGGATGCAACTTACACGGATGCCTCACCTTTCGACCCGCCGTGCATAAGCATAGACCCTCAACCCTCAAGTAAGCCCTAAACCCTGACCCGAAACCCCAACCCCTGAACCCCACAGCCTTCCAAAGCATGACATCCTGGAGTGCTGAGGACGATCAGAGGGAGGAGTTCTGGGGTTTAGGGGTGGGGGTTTAGGTGGGAGTTTAGGGTTTAGGGTTGAAGGTTTAGTGTTTTAGGGTTTAGGGTTTAGGGCTGAGGCGAGGGCGTAGATTTTAGGGTTGAAGGTTTAGGGTTCAGGGTTGGGGGTTCGCTTCTCCAGGACGTCGAGGACGATGTCAAATGGGAGGTTCAGACAACAAGGAAGCCCAACATAGACCAGTAGGTCAGTAGGAAGGACCCAACCGTTCAAAAAAGCCCGGCATCCTGGAACGCCTCTCACGAGCTTCTCAACTTGTGAGTGCGAGCCCCGGTGCCTTCTAGGGTTTAGAGTCCACCTAGACCTTCTAAAACCTTCCTGAATAGGTTCCCGATTATGACTTGAGGAAAAGGCCTTCAAGACCTGGGTTATTTAGGCTCCCGGTGGGGCTTGGGCCGCGGGGCCCGGCTTTGGGATCCTAAAGTCAGCTGAGGTGCCCTTGCCACCGTTGCCACCCTTTCCCCCGCTGCCGTTGGTCGTGGAGCCACCGCCACCACCGGAGCCCTTGCCGTCCTCTGATGCTTGGTCTAAGCTATGTAGGCCGGTGTCAGGGGCTTGTCTCGGAGTTTCGAAAGGAGGTCTCGGGGTTCGTCTTTTCTTTTGCGAAAAAGGTTGCAGACAATGCCCTGAGAAAAGGTGGCAAAAATCTCCGAACCACAAGAGTATCCCAGCACACCACAACCCCCCCTACACTACCGAAAGACCTGCACCAACGAGAAGAAACCTGCGCAACCTAAACCCGAAAACCTTGAAGTTAACCTGGATGCACAACACACCTCAATGGACGAAACCAAACAAAGAGGGTCCTCGCCGTGTGCTCCTGGATTCTTCCCTCCGGGTGTGCCGCAGTCTCCGCCGCCGCCTTCCCCACCTGGGACTTGGAGGTAGTTATAAATGGGGTTATAAGTAGGGTAACTATACTTATAACCTACATTAGGGGACTTATAACCCCACTTATAACTACCCATGAACCTCCAAGGAGGGTTGTTCGCTTGAGGGTGCATAGGCTCATAGTGCTATGGTGCAGTTTAGGGCCGTACAGAAACCAAAAAGGACCCAAAAAAAGAACCCTAGAACCCTAAAGCCAACCCCAAGCAAAACCCGCACTTACAGCTGGAATGCAAACCCGATAGCCTGACCTGTCCTGTTGGACTTTGATCATAAGACTGATAGCCATAGTAAGGCAGTTCCTTCTGTAATTGATACTGATACCTGTACGAGCACCAACACTAATACAAATACCAATACCAAGAACGATAATCTTAATCAACCGACACTATCGCTAATGCTAATACTCATACTCATATTAGTACTGTTGTAAATATTAGTACAAACAATAATAATAATAATGAACTAAGACGATCAATACTACTCAAAAAACGTACAATACCAATGCTAATCGGGAAAAGCCCTCGGAGCAAGCTCCTGCCTTCTCCCCCGGAGGAGCACGCTGGATTGTGGGAACCACCCCCGCCGCCAGCCGCATAGAAGTCGCACGTTCCGAGGATGCAGATCCTTAGACTGTTCGGGCTTGGGGCGAGGGTGGTAGGGTTTAGGGCTTGGGGTTTAGGATTAGGGGTTGAAGGCTTCTGGCATGACTTTTGGCACGGAAACCTCTGCTTTTCTGGTGAATCTTTGTGGACTAGGGCTGAAGTTCAGGCTGTAGGATTCAGGGCCGTACGTCGATGGTCTTGCTGCTCAGGGTGTTTAGGGTCCTCTGGTGTGCGGTCTGGGGTTTGGGCTGTTCAGGTGTTTAGGGTTTAGGGCATTGACTGGCTTGAAGTTTAGGGCTGGACTGAATTTTGGAGGAACGTTGCAGCCAAGATTCTCTTTGCCCTTTCCTTGGTTGCTCTGTCGGAGCAAGTGAAGGAACGCAGGGTGCCTGAAGATGCACGGTTGAAAGTAGCTGCTTACACCGTAAACCCTCAACCTACCATCATGACCAATAACGCGCTCCCAAAGACCCGAATCCTTGAACCTGGACAGAACATCCCAGCCGCCGCCATCGCCGCAGTGGCTGCTAGTGCCAGATTCACCGACCTCACCTGGGGTTCAAGGCCCTTCGGGCTTAGGTTATGGTTGATGGTGTAAATCCTGCATTACCCAGAAAAAAGGGAATGTACCATCATTCCCATAGTCTTTAGAGTCCGTAAAGTAATGCAAAATCTATATCATCAACAGTAGGTGCACATTTCTGGATGAACTTACATGTGGGTAGTTTTTCTAAATTAAGGTCATTTTGGGGGTCCTTTTTTATAGGGGTGCCGTACTATATTTGGGACCTAAAGGGGGACCCTAATTTAGAGAACTACCCATGTAGCCACGACTTCTGCGAGAGCTCCACATCGCGCTAATCCCCGAACAAGAAGCCGCACCGCCTACCCCCGCCCGCCTTCTGGGCCTCGGACCATGGAACGGTTTAGGGCTTAGGGTTTGGGCTTTAGGATTGTCAACATCACGGCATGAAAAGGAAGAACCCATGGTTGGAGCTTTGGAATGCCCTTACGGACATCCCAGAAATCCTCTGTCTGTGACCCCACCGCCCTTGATGTCTGTCTGTTCTGGTGGGCGCTCATAAGATCGAGTCCGACAGGGGTTTCAACAAAAGCCCCCATCTCACCTGCGCCACCTCCTCCTCCAGCATTCCAGGTGCCTGGAGCAGGCGTGGGCGTGGATACGGGCTGTGAGGGACTCTGGGTTTTGCGGACCTGTTTGGTTATTTAAGGAATCTACAACAAGGGTCTAAGAAGATTTCATAGATGATCTTTTTGTAAAGCGTCTAGCTCAAGGCTTACGATTGACTGCTTGAGGATGTCAGGGCTAGGGGGTTAGGGTTAGGCTGAGGATCTGAATAGGTGTTTAGAGTTAGAAAGGCTTAGTAAATTTGAGTCGTTTATTTGGGTTTGGGGCGATCAAAACCTACTTGAAGGCTTCCGGGTAGTTGTACGAATGCCAGGGTTGGGGTTGGAACTCGTTACAACCGTAGCTACAAACCCTAAACCCTAAACCCAAAAGCACGCCGAGACTCAAGGAAACCACGAACCTGCTTCCACGACCCCCTCACCCCGAATCCAGGGGCCTCACGCGTAAAGGTCCTACATAAGAATCCCGAAGCCCTGAAACCCAAACCCCTAAATTGAAAGCTCTAGACCCCCAGACTCGAAACCGAAACCCGACCACCCAACTCGACACTGTAGATCCTCGCGCCCGGACAAGCCTCGAAGCTGCAAAATGGATTATCCTACTATAGGGGCCTAAATAATTAGAATGGGGAATAAGGAATGCCCAAAGTAGTATTGGTAAGGAAAAAATATCTAAGCTCCTATATCACACCACTAAATTACGGAAACAATCCTGAAACCCCCAAACCCTGCACACCTGACCTATAGAACTTATAAAACCCTTTCACGCCTGACCGTGGCCTTTGGTGCCAGATCCTAAATCCTAAACCCTAAATCCTCAATCCTAAACCCGAAACCCTAAATCCTAAACCCTAAACCCTAAATGCTAAATCCTAAACCCTGCTTAATTCCTCAACCCGAAAAAGTTTCTCTCAGAACCCCTTTCCCCTGGCCTTCGGTGCCAGATCCACCCTTGTGTCCGAAGCCGAACTTTCCGGACTTCCCCGATTGCGACGTCTGCACGGCCTGTCGAAGAAGGACTTCGATGTTTGTTGTGGGGTTTAAGCTTTAGGGGCTTAGGGCTTAGGATTGAAGGTTCAGGGTTTAGGGTTGAGGATTTAGGGTTTAGGGTTGAAGGTTCAGGGCTCGGGGTTTAGGGTTTAGGGTTGGTTCATCTTTCAGGGCTTTAGGGTTGAAGGTTTGGGGTCGAAGGTCCAGGACGTCGGGCCGAGGATCCTGGAGCTTAGGGCTAGGAATGGTGGGTCTGAGCTTTGGGACCTTGGGGTTTAGGGTTGCAGGTTTAGGTTCCCCAAACCCTAGTTTAGGGTTTAGGGTTTAGGGCTTAGGGCTTGGGGGTTTGGGGTTTGGGGTTTTGGGGTTTTGGGGTTTTTTGTTGGGGTTTAGCGTCAAGTCTGGCTGAAAGGGCTTCACCCTGAGCCCTGCACCCCAGGCCCAAAAGAAGCCAACCATGGGACCCCAGGCCCTTGAACCCTATAACCCCAAGACCCTGCGCCCTAGAACCTTAGAACGAACCCTATAACCCTAAGACCCTAAGCCCTAGAATCTTACAACCTTAGGGTTTAGAGTTTAGGGTTTAAGCCTAACCCGCCTCGACAAGAGCTGATCCTCCTGTGGTGGTGTGGCGCTATTCAACTCGCACAGGCTGTGGAAAGTCATCCCTGTTGCTACGGCCTTCCCACCCCGAAAACATAGCGCTCGAACCGCTAAGTCTAAGTATCATGACAACAGGAACAAGATCACCAGCATCACGTCTAACCGCCAGTAGCATTCGTTACAAGAGCAGCAGCAGTGCTAGACGCCAGCTTCTCCCGTGACCCTTCAGACGGTGTCTATCAGACGCTTAACTCCCTAGCCCTAGCCCGTCAGGAAGCAATTATATTCTAACAAGATTAAGTTGTTCATGCTGCGTATGATGGTGGCTATCGCCATGGCACAATTGTGAACACAGACGTAGCTACTGCAGACATCATGGCGCATGAACGTGATGAGGATTTTGTTTAGGACTGAGGCTATGACATCAATGTAGCGAAACCCTTCAACTGACATCGAATGGGTGACAACGTCCTCTTCGGGCCTTCCCACCTTTTTTGCCATACTTGCCGCCTCCGCCGCTTCCTCCATCGTAGCCCTGTCCGCAGACATGGTCCGACGGTCTACATAGGCCTTATCAAGTTGGGGTACTCCTTATAGTCACAGTCTTTGCATTTTGTGCCATGAGTGGCTTTGCACTCTGGTCTTTCGGGGAGAAGGGACTTCCTGGGTGTGTGGCGTGGAGTGGCCCGGGCCAGCAAACACGACGAGACCCTGAACGCCATGTCCTAGGTCCTTAAGCCTGCACAGGAGTTTCAGAATAAGAACGAGCATGCCACGGACTCACAAAAACCGCCGATGGTACACAAGGTAGCCAGGATTTAGGGCCATTTAGGGTTTGGGCAAGGCGCCTTCGAAGAAGGGCAAAGCTTTCCAGCAAGTTCAGTGCGAGCGCAGGTGTCAGGACAGTGTGCATAGTTTAATTAGGGGTGAATCAAGAGTTCTAACTTGAGCAGGTGCCCGATACATTGCCTCTGGGCTCTTTGAAAGTATGAGTGCTCAAGCCACAGGCGGCTACGCCTACACCAGAAGTCTACTTCCCTTCACCCCTGCATTCCTGATACGGTGGAGACCAACACTCCAGAAGAAGAACCCCACTGGTTGTCGCACCGTAAAGATCCAACCCGAACCCCCCAAACCCAGACTGTCATTACCTCTAGACTGTGAACGGCCACCACTAGCTTCCGCGCCTTCTTCTGATGGTCGCTACCTCCGCCACCACCACCCTTGGCCTTGGTGCGGGGTTTTTGTTGGGAATGCTAGGCTTTAAAGCTTGTGGGCTTTAGGGCTCCCAGGAATTCGGGTTTCAAACCTATGGCTCCGGGCCGCAGACCTCCGAGCCATGTTGCTGCTGCGATGCTGGTCCCATAAGGGTTTAGGGTTTAGGGCTTGCATGGTTTGTTGAAGGTTTCTTTGCCGTAGTATGTTGGCACTGTGGCGAAGTATTGTGGATTTAGAGTCTGGGGCGTCAGCGGAATCGCTCCTCGGATTTACTTGCCATGGGCCAGCTCCCTAGAAGGGGTCACACAATGAGTAGGCCCGTAACGAATAAGGTTTTCCACAAGAGCCAGATCACGACGACGACCAGTTCTACTGCCACTACCACTACCATTTCCACCTAATTACCACTAGCATTACCACGACCACCCCACTATCCGTACCGCTACCGCTGCAGCGACCGCTACCACTACCACTACCACTGTTACACTACTACTGCTGCCGCTACCGCTACCACTACCGCGACCAGCACTACAACTCCCTGTATCCACCTAGCATTTACCGGACCTACCTACCTGCTTAGCTACCCACCCTGCATGCCTGCCTGCCTGCCTGCCTGCCTGCCTGCCTGCCTACTACTGCATGTTCATGCTTACGATGACGATGATTATAAGGATATGACGATGCCGATGCCGATGGTGAGAGGGAACAGGCTGAAACAGGAGAATGCTTCAATTTGGCCGAACTGTTGCCGTGATGATGGTGATGATGGTGATGATGGTGATGATGATGACGACGACGACCATGACGATGACGATGACCATGACGACGACGAAAATGATGATGATGATGATGATGAATGCAAGCCCAAGCGGCCACCAACTCGCCGAACTTCGAATTTTTGCCGGCCTTGCCGTCCCCTCCGCCAGCACTGCCACCGGCGCCGCCGGCACCCACCTTGATGGTGTAGGGGGTGCCTTTGGTGACCTGCACACAGAGTCGCAGAGGGTTTGCCGATGCTAAACTCAGAACATCGGGCAGGTAGGGCTTCATGGCTTTGCATTCCCCGCCCGGCTGAGCGCGAAAGAAAGGGGGAGAGAGACAGAGAGAGAGAG